TTCTCCCTTAAGACCTGTGACCTAGCCAGTTATGGAATTATGGCCCAGTTAATGGTACCAGGCATGAGGCAAACCCAGACAGAACGACAAATGCCACATGTCCATTCTTACATGGATGCTAGCTTTGAATATTTAAATATTTGTGTTTAAGTTGGAGTACCCATAGACAGCAGGAAATAAGTAAGCTTCCACTAAGGGGAGGGGATTTCAAGGGAAAGGGGATAGAACACAGGAGGTATGAAAAGGGAAATAGTGAAACAGAAATGCTTAAGTGGGGTAGGGGATGGGTAGGCATAGTAGAGGAGTGGGGTAGGAGATGGGTAGGCATAGTAGAGGAGTGGGGTAGGGGATGGGTAGGCATAGTAGAGGAGTATGGGGAGGGATAAATAGCACTGAAGATTTTTGAAAAACAAAGTGGAGAGCAACCGAGGAAGACATACACCATCAACCTCTGCCCTTTACATGCAGGTGCACACACACGGTTATGTACATGTGAACATGTACATTACACACAAATGCACACTAAAAGGTAAATTGGAAAAGCAAATGTGAAAGCTGGACATGGTGGCAAATATTTTTAATCCCAGTACTTGAGAGGCAGAGTCAGGTGGATCTCCATGAGATCAAGGCCAGCCTGTTCTACATAGCAAGTTCCAGGCCAGCTGGGGCTACAGAGAAACCCTGTCTCAAAACAAACAAAACAAAACCCAAAAACCAAAAAATAGCAACCATCAGGAATCTAGGAGGTTGATATTGAGACAAGTGTAGAACTAACTCAAGCTAAGAGACGGAGAGATTCACAGTCAACTGTGAGGAGCAGTTTGAGGGCAGTTCCTGCTTAGGAATTCAACCCAATAGAGAAGACAGACCCAGACCAGACAGAAAGCATTCCTTTCTGCAGTAACCGTGTTTGTGGATTCCAAACAGATGAGCAGCTACTATCCTACCTCAGAGTGAGCTGCAAAAGACAACCTTGGGAGCAGGAAGGATCCCTATTCTCATCATCAAGGAAGAAAAAGTGAATGGGTTGTCTTTATGGTGTTTTGTTTATGTGTCTGGTTTAGTTATTCTTTACTGTGTATTCTTTTTCATTTTCATTTTTAAAATTTTATGTGTATGAGTGTTATGCCTGCATTTATGTAAATGGACCCGTGTCATGCAGTGACAGCGGAGGTCAGAAGAGGGTGTTGGATCCCCTGGAACTGGAGTTATGGATGGTGGTTAGCCACCACTTGGGTGCTAGGATTCAAACCCAGGTACTCTGCAAGAATAGCCAGTGCTTTTAACTTGAGGCACCGCTCTAGCCCTGTTTATTCTTACTTAAATTTCTCTCACTATTATTTCTTGTGTTTCCATCCAATATACTTTTTGTCATTGTCACATTTCCAATTTGCTTTATCTAGTTTTTGCTTTTCCCCACTTCCCTTTCTTTTTATTTGTTAATGCTTTTCACTCTAATGTTTCTAAACTCTGAGTCTATAGTAAGTACCCTAGCTCCTTTGTTGTTTAATCTTATTACGGTTTTAGTTCTGCTTATTGCTGCATTCTGATGCCGCAGTTGTTCTTACTGCTCTCTACTTTCCCACGCTTTCATGGGGAGCGTAAGCCCAAAAGAAGATTGCCTAGTAAGAAGACACCCATAAAATTAAAGTGGGTATTCTTTTTTAAAAACCCTGAAAGACATAGCCATACTAACAGACACACAAAATGAAACAGAAACAAAAATATGACAAAGCACACAAACTTCCCAGTAATCAAAATGAAATATATGAAGTAGTTGTGATGATGGATAAAAAATAAAAACACGATGGAAAATACTGTCAATAGTTCAGATTGAGAAGAAAGAATATTATGGATTGAAGACGAGGTCATGGAAACATTATGTTTAGGCAGCCATAAACTAAAATGCAGGGCTGGGGATGTAGCTTAGTTGGCAGAGTCTTCTCCTAGTAAGCATGAAGCCCTGGGTACAATCTCTAGTACCACATCAACTGGGTGTGGTGGCATATATCTGTAATTCTAGTATCAGTGAGTTAGAGGTGGGATGATCAGAAGTTCCAGGCTATCCTTAGCTATATAGCAAGCTTGAGATGACTTGGGATATATGAGAATCTGTCTCAAAATAAAATTCCATCAGGCATAAAAACAACTTTCATGAACTTGGACATGATCAATATACCAAAACCTAAGAAACCATGAGGTAGAAGAAGGTGCTGAGATACAAACCAAATGTATGGAAAATATTGTCAATAAAATTATAGCAGAAAATTCCCCAACACAAACACACACACTCACACGTACAGGAGGTATTTAGAAACTCGAATTGTAGAAGATTCTGTTCACATCACATTGTAGTTAAACTGCTAAGACAACAGAACAAATAATATTAAATGCTGTAACAGGCCAGGCATGGTGGTGCCTATCTTTAATCCCAGCAGAGGCAGGCAGATCTCTGTGAGTTCAAGGCTAGCCTGATCTACATTATGAATTCTAGGCTAGCTAGGGCTACAGGGTTTCCATACTGTAAGATTAGACTAGGAAGGACTAACAAAGAAGAAATGAGAGTTGTAGGCTCCCTCTCCCCATGTGACAGAGTAAACAGGGGAGATCTTATGAAACTGAGAGACTCCCAACAAAAACCCATAGGCACAGAAATTCTATGAGTTGGACCTTTGCTCAAGGAACAGAAAGGGACTACTTTCATTTAAAATGAACCATCAGGAGGCTGGATAGATGGACCAGCAGTTAAGAGAGCTTGCGGCTCTTCCAGAAAACCAGAATTGGATTCCCAGCACCCATGTTGGGCAGCTCACAGCTACCGGTTTAACTCCAAGTCCAGGGGATCTGACACCCTCTTCTGGCTTCCACAGGTACCCACATGCATGTGTGCATATACAAAGGCACATACACATACACTTAAAAAAATAAAAAATAAATCTTAAAAAATAAAACCACTAGGGAAGGACATATACAGTAGAGTCTTTGCCGTACATGTATAAGGCCCAGTACTCAAATCCAGGCATCGTAGAAACAAAATAAAATAAAAACAGAAACAAAAAGAGCAAAAGAAATGAGTAATTTTAGTTGTGCATTGTGGAACATGTCTATAATCCCTGGTCTTGGCAGACTTTGGCAGGAGGCACACAAGTTAAAAACCAGCCAAACTACAGCTCTGTAATATAATTTGAGATCTGGTATAGTAATCCCCCAGCACTGCTCTTTGTGCTCTGGATTGTTTTGGCTATTTGGGGTCTTTTGTGATTCCATATGAATTTTAGGATGCTTTTTTTCTAATTCTGTGAAGAATGTCATGGGGATTTGCATGCACAAAATCCATGCAAACTCCAGCAGACAAAGACCCAGCACAGAACTGTGGAAATGGCAGCAGGGCCAATTTTAGGTGAAGAACTTTTGGCAACTGATAACTGCTGGGACTCTAGAGAGGCTGACTAGGCCCCAATGGATGAATCTGCACCGAGTGATGTCTGGGGACACTAACTTGACTCAGTAGGCCTTAACGTAAAAGACAGAATGCATAAATTCCAGTGTGTAGTGGGGTGGGGGTATGGGAGGGTACCAATGCAGAAATGGGTATAAAGATGGTTAAGATGTTCTGTATAAAATACACAAAAATTCAATAAAAATTTTACAAAAAGACCCCAGCCAGATGTACATAATAAGACTCTGTCTTAAGCCCCCACTTGGCTGCTCTGAAAAGCCATCTCCACATTGTTTCCTGTCCAGCTTCCCCTTCCTGGCAGCTACCTTGGCCATGGAGTCCAGTAGCTTTTCCACCAGAGTCCTTGAACTCTCACTTTCTTTTTCCTATGCTGCATCAGATCACCAGTGTCCTCTTCTGAGTCAGCCATGGCCCTGAACACCAGTGTGCAAGTCACCACTTAAAAACTCAAAGAGAAGGAAGCTGTGGAGGAGGCAAAGAATGGAAGAGATGCACCTGCCAGTGCGGTGCTGAGGAGGAGAATGGAGAGCAGGAGGCTGACAATGAGGTAGATGAAGAAGAGAAAGAAGGTGGGGAGGAAGAAGAGGAGAAGGAAGGTGATGATGTGGAACAGGGAGATGATGTGCTATGGACAAGCGGAGAGGTGAGGATGGTGAGAATGATGATGATGACTGTAAGAGGCAGAGACTGATGAGGAAGACTAGACAGCAAAACAAAAATCAAACTTAAAAAGCCACTGAGACTTGGTCCCCCTCCACCTCCCATCTCAGAATCTAAACATGTCACCTTGGAGTAGAGAGGCCCGCCATCCAAGCCAGCAGCACCACATGCAGATAACATGTGCTTTCCTTCACCCCACCAGAACAACAACATGAATTTGCAACAGGGGAAGAAAAAAGAACCCAAACTTCCACAGCCTGTTTTTTTGTGTTTTTTTTTTCCCAGAAGCACTTCAAAAGGAAAATTTGTAAATTTTCCCTATGTTTTCTATTTTTGTACGTATTGTAATGGGTCAGACACTTATAATAAGGGGTGACCAAACCAAGCCTTCAGAGCATTTTCTGTCCTACTGACTACTTGTGACTACTTATGATATGACTATGTACATTATAATCTTAAGGGGAAAAAAAACCTTATAAAATAAAAATAAAAAAACAACGATGACAACAACAATAGCAAAAACAGTCTTACTCCCAGCATGCTAGTGATGAGAAATTACTGGAATGTGTATATACCTAATTGTACTATAAGTAGTTAGTTTGTATGCAATGGCCAAAAAGGCCAACGATAAAGGTTTCTGTTCCCCCCTTTGTATCTATGAAACTGCTATTTATTCATTTACTGGGGGCGGGGCACGAGGCTGTTTGATGTATGTATTAAACAATGTCGCATAATAAACTGGAATTTTATTTTGCTGGGTTGTTTTTTAAGAAAAGTCCCTGTCTTTAAAAAGAAAACTAAATCAAGCAAAATAAAACTTAAAAATAACTAAAATTTCTTCAAATGATGAAAAGTAAGAATATGCTAGTTTTCATCTTTATTGAATGGTAATATCATATTATTCTGAGCCATTATAGATCACTGGGATTGTATATCTGTGATTTCTGACACACAGACACATACATTAACATTTCTCCTGCCAGGCCACTAAAACTTACTGCATGGAAAATTTCATTAAATGTTGGGATTATTTTCACAATTCATTAGATTTGCCTAGTTTGCATCGGTTTGAAATGCTGGACTCTTCTTTCTCCTTGATGGTTTATCCTTCCTGTAAATGCAACATAACAAACAGAAAATCAAAATCATAAAAATAATCCAAAAGAGTAATCTTAAATGCACAGTTGCTGGCATCTCCCTTTTCTTTCTCTCAGAGGAGATGGGCCACTGTCAATACGCCCTCCACTGCCCTCTACAGAGCAGAGTGGTGGGTCCCACCCACGGTTGCAATGGCAGTGGTGTTTATTGTTGCAGACCCCCTCCATATTGCATGTCTTTGGCGAACATTCACTTGTCCAAATCGACTTACCGACACACTTCCTGTGAATGCACACATGCTCCGGACCACAGCTTGTGCCATCTTTTACATTGCCAAGGTCAGGTAGGGTCATCCCAAAATGATAGTCAGTACCCCAACAGGTGACACCATTGAAGTGACTCCAAAGCACGATCTAATGACTTCTCAAAAAGGGAACCTCTTTCACTTCTTCACACTGAACTCTCCCACAGAGAATATCTGAGCTACTATATTTCACATATGTTCACCATACCACAGTTACCAAAACGATTACCACATTTCCCTGTAACAACTGACCAGTGCACTCCTGGCTTCCTCACCAAAAGTTCTTTGACACTGTTCATCGTGGTTATTACATCTCTTTTCATGGCAGTAGCCATCACCCCTGCAAGGGCTCCCATCCAGCACGTAGACATCTTCAGGACACTCATGTGACGTTCCATTGCACCACTCTGGAAGGTCACATTCATTGTCCTCTTGTCTACACAGAGTGCCTGGTGGCAAGATGCACATTCATAGCAACAAAGCCCAGAAGCACAGAGTGCTCCCGATTTCAAAGTGCAGCCTGGCAGACAGCACGGATCTTCTTCACACAATATGGAGGATCCACAATTGCACTCCTCTCCTTGTTCAACCACACCATTCCCATGTCCAAAGGGTCAGGTGGGGTGTATATGCAGCTTGTTTTGGCAGCAGTTGTCCACAACACAGCATAACTACAATTGCTAAAATTCCTGGAATGGTTTGCTGTTAGAGCCATTACACATGGTCCTGTCCCACATGTACAAAATCTCCCATCATGTGGTATGCCAAAATTATGACCTATTTCATGTGCCACAATTTGTCCAAAGTCAAAGAAATTCTCTCCCAGGAGACTATCAACTCCACAACCAAAAGTCGAATTGCATATTGTTCCAACATAGGCTATGCCAAAATACTTCTTAAAATTATGATGTACAAAAAGGTGTGCAATATCATGTGGCCTATGGAAATTCTCAATTGGCAGGATGTGGCAAGAGATTATATATCTTTTTAATTTCCATAGGGTTGCCATTATTCCAGATCTGAAGTCCAACTAGAGCAACATTAACATCCACTGGAAAGAATAAGAAACTTATTTTATTCATAAAGATGAATATATCTTGCATCACAAGTGAAGTATTACTTCCTCTAGAAAGGAATCGTCCATGGTCTACAACCAAGAGCAGCTCAATGTACCGTCTGTGAGTCTACCATATCCCATAGTCACTTTGGATCAGGGTGGAGTTAGTGCTCTCTTCAAGCTTCACTTGCCATGCTATTTCTTCTTCTGTTAATCCATATCTCATGGCGGGTAATTCTGTCTTCTTGCTGTCCATCATATAAATCAAATGCTCAAATGTGGATGAAAAGTTCTTGGGCTTGATTTCATAAGCTGTGTCATTTATCTGTAATGTTCCTCTAAAGCCTCCAAAACAAGTGGTAAGAGCAACCATGTACTCTAGGTCTCCTACAAAACCAAGGTAGTAGCAGTCACTCTGGACAAAAGGTTGGTTCTCAAGGAGATTGCCTTGGTCACTGTGAGTGAATAGAGAGAAGTGTTGGGATACCAAAAATGTATTAAGCTTTATGTAGATAACATGTCTCTGGCCCCCAAAGTGCAGGCTATAGGACAGCCAGCCTTTAGGGTGTGAGTTTCCATTAGTGCCAGTGACCCTCAAGGGTATCACCACTTCTGGGGGGGATTGTATTCAGCACACCAAGTCAGAGGCCAAACAGAGAGAAAGAGCAACACTCTCAAGCACAACTTCAGGAGCATGGTCCTCACATGTACCAGCACCTCACCCAGAGCCATCACGTCTTATGAGAGAGCAAAGTGGGGTGGGAGGTGGCTCTGCTGTTTTGTCTTCCCCTCATGTTGGTTGCATGCAGCACTGATCTTTAATGGTCTATCTTTTGGGAAATCTGATCCATCAGAGAAGCAGGACTACAAGAAATAGGAAAGACAAGGCAGATATAGAAGTGGCTTAATTATGAACAGCTCAGGGTAGAAGGCTAGAGTGTTATTTGTACAGCTTAGCCCAAGGTGTGACTCTAGCAGTGCATTTGATTAGCTCTTTAATTTTGGTGAAGGACAGTCAGACTGTGGGTGTGCAAAAGAATCACAACTGGCTGCAGGTTGATAATTCTTGCACCTTGATGAAAGACACATGGATATTTATGTACCTGTGAGACCATATCTACACAAATGTAGTAGAAAGATGAGCAAACAACTTGTTTTGGTAAGAATTTTATTTATACATATTTAATTGAATAATATTAATAGTTTTTTCAATTTTATATGGTAAATTATTCCTAATTCTTTGTAGACATGTGTAAATGACTATTCTCCTATGTTACTTTCTCTCGTGACCCTTAACATGCATTCTCATGCAACAAATCACTGCTCACTTTGTCTTACTTTAGCTTTGTAAATTTTCAGAAAGCATTAACTTCCCTTCAGAAGTGTTGGAACTGTCCATAATGGGGATCTTCCTGCAATAAAACAATGAACAATATTATAATCAAACTAGGTATGCTATTTTGATAGATTTTTCCCATTGCATTTGTATTTGATTATATTTATAGAAAGTTCATTTTCCAAGTCCTCTAGCCATATAAAAAGAAAAAGAAATCACACTCACTGGAAGTTTAATAGTTTGGCATGGGAGAATACTGAAACCAGAACAAAGTGTTTTCAGAAATGAAAAGAAAATCAAGGAGACTCAGAAAGAGGAAAAAGTTCAGGAAGGTAATGTGGTACTGGAGCAAAAATCATCAAAACTCCTGGCATTTTAGGATTAGAAGGTAAATAGCCCAAAACATCAACCTTCAAATGGATTTCAGAAAAAATTTTTAAAAATTTTAGATATATATATATCTCATAGAAAAATATAAATATTGAAAAATTTGTCTCAACAGTGCAAATATACCAGGATATATTTATGAAAGTGAGAAGTCTGGGAGCAGCAGGGTGCCTGGCTTACAGCAATGATTAGCTGCCTTCTTTATAGTTAAAAATGCTCATAAGGTAGATAAAGTATAGATACTATGATACACACTTGGGAAATGTAAATGGATGATACAGCCCTTAATGATCAGTATAGGTGACTAGAATAATGGTCTTAATAACAGTCTGCAGGGTGTGTAGATTTGTGGGGCAAAGATTCACTCAAGACTCTGCCAATATGCATTGAGTATTGAACACAAAAAAAATTCCTGTTTTTATTGACTAACTGAAAGTGCTCACAGGGCTCATGGAGTCATTAGGGTGATGAGATTAAGAACTGTCTGTTCTAGAAAAACAACCATAGAAAATTAAATCTGCTATAGGAGAGGATCTAAGCATTCTGATCAAGTACCATTTCTCATAATAGGGATACAGAAATAAAAGATGCCAGATTCAATGCTCACCCTTTCCTGGATCCAGATCCCATTTCACCTACATTTTATTTTATTTTGGTCCTAAAGCCTACTTCATTCTAAAATAATTTTGCCATTGCTTACAGAATCTTCCCTTCCTAAAAAGTAATGGCAATCTCTTCTTTGTTTCCACTTCATTAAGGAAAGATTTTCCTACTTATTTTTAGAAACTTGTATCTGGACAGCATGGATCCCAGCACTCTCAGAATCCCCCCCCATTAATCATGCCTGCCTGATATTGTCATAGTTTGCTTCTATTGCCAGTGCCCTTTGCAAACGGCAAAGCTACTGACCTCTCCTCACACCACTATTTATCTTTGTTCTTTATTCTTTCACCAACCTGCTGAATCAGTCTTATTTGTATACTGCAAAAGTTTGAGTATCTTTCTTCTCCACCAATAACCTTCCCCAAGCTTTCGTTATCTTCAGCAAGCATGTGAACAACCTACACAGCATCTGATGTTTGTTTATTTATGCTCTTGAAACTCATCCTCAAGGACCGTTAGGCACAGATCTATAGTCATACCCAATATCATGTTATCATCAGCCACCGCTGACCAAATCACGCAATCCAATGCTACTCTTCTTTCCAGCTTTTGGCATTCCTATTATATGCTGCCAACACTGCTGGAAATATGAATCACAGAGTCCACTGAGAGGGATAGTGAAGAGGAGGAAGCACATAAAATTTGAGTTAGATAGCCCCACCCCTCGGTTCATAGCTTCAAGTTATGAAGTTTTTTTTCCCCCAAATACTCCCATACTATTAATAACTTGTGACTTCTTGTCCACAGTATTTTTTAACTTTCCAATTTTCTATACTTTTGCAATAGCAAACAGGATCCTTAATTGAAATTTAGCATTATATTGGTGAGTTTTTAAAAAATTAATATTACTGAATTTCAATCATGGCGGCTTAAGTTGAACAATCAAGGATACTTCTTCATTTAATACTTTTTTTTGTCTTTTTGATACAGGGTCTCCCTGCAGCCCCAGCTGTCCTGGAACTTACTATGTAGAACAGGCTGGCCTTGAACTCACAGAGATCTGCCTGCCTCTGCCTCCTGAGTGCTGGGATTAAAGGCATGCACCACCACGCCCAGCCATTTAATACTTTTTAAACTCAAGGTTGGGTATTTCCTGAGTCTTTGGTATGTCACTGAACATTCAGCAGAAGACTTGTTTTAGAACTTATCCTTATTTTAAAGTGGCAAAAGTACCTCCATTGCTTGGGGAAAGTAATCAAGTAAATAAAGAGAAGGCATGCTTTACAAAGTGCCCATAGACCACAGAAGAAAGCAAAATCAGTGAAAGGAATCTTTGAGGACAATGTCTAGAAATTATGAGTAAATTCTGACATGTTGATTGGCTGTTTATGTCTACCCTGATATATATTTGGTTAAGATTACAGGGTTTTAATATTTTGTGAAAGAAAGATAATTTACTAATAATATTATTAATAAAGAACATAAAAAATATCAGAATTTATTCCCAAAACCTCATCTTGTCACCAGGTCATTGGCAAACAAACTTAAAAGAAAAATTGAGCCTGACTGTCTTCTCATTCCCTCCATCATTTTAAACTATGACTAAAGAGGTTACAGCTCTTGAAAGACTGTAATTTTTTCCATCATATGAATATGGAGTGCTGGCTTGTGAGATGCTTAGTGGGTAAAACTCTTAGAGCCACACCTGACGACCTGAGTTTGATTCCTGGAAGCCATGATGGAAGAAGACAACCATTCCTGAAAGTCATTCTCTGATATCCATACTTCCTGGCACACACACACACACACACACACACACACACACCATATATATCATACATACATCGTATACATACAGCATACACTCACACACAGTATACATACATATCATGTGCACACACCTCATATACTCTCACACAAGCATCATAGAGAGTCATACACACACGATACACAAAAACACATAATGCATACAGATCAAACACACACACAATAGCAAGTTAAAAAGGATGTGTAGTGCTATAGTAGTACAGAGATCTCAAAGCTGTCATGCAGCATCTGTTATTTACAGTTTCATCAAATTAATCAATTCTATAGCTTAATCATCACTTAGCCCTCACCACCATTTACAGTGTAATTCAGTATTTTTGAAACTATGAGTAACAATACTTTAAAAACCATTTATAGCATCTCAACCAAATAATAAGGGACATACCCTTTCCCAAAATCAGAACAACTGGTAAAGAATCAAGGTAGGGGTGTGTGTGCATATGTGTGTGTGTGTGTGTGTGTGTGTGTTCACGCATTAGTTGTTTGATATTTTATTTTTATTTTCTATGTGTATGAGTATATTGTTTGCATGTGTGTTAAGTGCACCCGTGTTGTGAAATGCCTGTGGAAGTCAGAAGAGGGCATTGAATCCCCTGGAACTGGAGTTACATATGATTGTTAGCCACATTGTGAGTGCTGGGAAACAAACCTGGGTCCTCTCCAAGAGCAGCCAGTGCTCTTAACCACTGAGCCATCTCTCCACCTCCAGTGTACTGGTTATTTGTATTTCTATTCGTTAGTTCTAAACTTTTGAATGACTTACCAAGAGATGTACTAATGATTTCTGGGTATGTTCCTATCCATGACTCATTTTTAAAAACCATTTTAAAAGCAAAGATCTTTACTTGAGACCTCCCATGACAAAGAGAATATAATTCTTTTTTCCATTGTCTCTCATTTGATTAAGTTCTAGATTCAATTACCTAGCAACAAGAGCCTTTCCAGCAACAGAACCTGGTAACTAACTGGGTGATATTCCTTCCCACTATGTCTCCACCATCTCAAACAGTTGTTATTTCTACTTACACCTCAGGATGAAAAAATCTGGCTTCCTTACTATTATGCTACCATAGCTTTTCAGTATGAACAGATCTCATTTTCCTTGCTCCAAATTCATATGTTCGTCTACACACTAGAGACATTTGACCTTCTGAAACTTTTATTATGCTGTTACCCTGGTCCCAGGTTATTTCTTCAACATTCAGCCACATTATGGAATATTTGAAGCACTTACAGTTCCGGAGAAAAGTTCCTACCCACCTTAGAATTCCCCTAAGTAATTCAGACATAAGTAATCATCTGTACCTTCCTTCCTAAAGTCAATGACTCAGACATTTTACAGCTGAACATGACATGCCTTAGCTATGCTAAGTTCTGACCCATAAAAACAGGAAAAAACAATGTAGAAGTGGAGGCGTGATGAATAAAAATATCATAGGCACAAATTTCATTGTTAAATTGGTTGTTTTCTAAATACTAATCAGAAGAGATTTTATTTAACTGGTTAGCGAGGGCAAGCCATGGAAACAGGTTTAGCTGTCTATTATCTTCAAGGGTGTGCCTCTAGGATTGGGGATGAGCTTGGTAATATCTGTAAATTTGGTGTCTCTCGTGTTTTTCCACTGCACATCCACCTTAGTTTGCCTTGTTCTCCACCATTTACCACACTGAACTTTTCCACTTTTATCCGACTTTTATTGTAACTGGTTTTTAGGAGACCACATTTGACTTGATAGTTTCTATCTCTCTATCGACTTGATAGGGATGCCGACACAAGGTAACACAAAGTTAATGGCTTAAGCATGATAAATTTATTTCATGACAGTTTTGAAGGCTAGACATCTAATACCATGGTGTCCTCAGGACCCCAAGTCCTCTGATCTTTCTAAGGAATGATTTATTTCATATTTCTTCCAGATTCTGCTAGTTACCTTTTTTTTGTGGCAGCATAATTGTCATCTTCACCTACTGATCTCTGTATCTAAAATTTCCTTTTATAGGGACACCTACTTAGATAATATATGTGTGAGTCATAGAATGTAACAGTAGACAAAGAAGGTCTTTATATAATGTTATATTAATTCATTGGGAAGATATGAACAATTTTGAATGTATATGCATTGAATTTCAGAACACTCAAATATTAAAACATTTTAATGGATTTGAAAGGAGAAATAGACAAAATATAATAACAGTGGGAAACTTTAACACCTCACTTTCAATAGTGGCTATGATATCTAGACAGCTAATAAGTAACAGAGGATTTGACCAAAACTATATCACAGATTAACAAGCATATTTAAAGTCATCTAACACAGCAGAGCCTATTCTCTGCCACCAGGGACAAAACACTCTTCAGTACTGATTATATGTTATAATACAGACTATCTTAATTATTTTCAGAAATCCAAAATTGTATCAAATATCTCTTTTGAATTAAAAGTAATGAAACTAGATTGTGTGGTGCACACTTGGAAGGAAGAGGCAGACTGATCTTTGTGAGATCCAGGCCAGCCTGGTCTACATGGAGACTTCTAGGCCAGCTGTGGCTACAGGAAGAAAACAAAACAAAAAACAAAACAAAACAAAACAAAACAAAACAAAAAGGGCTGGAGAGATGACTCAGTGGTTAAGAGCACTGACTACTCTTGCAGAGGACCCAGGTTCAATTTCCAGCACCCACATAGTAGCTAACAACTGTCCATAATTCCAGTTCCAGAGGAATCTGACATCTTCTGACCTCTGTTGTCATTGCATGACATGGTTTCAATTACATACATGCAGGCAATATACTCATCCACATAAAATAAAAATAATAAATAAAATATTTTTTTAAAGTAATGAAACTAGGAGCTAGAGAGATGGCTCACTGGTTAAGCGTCTTGGCTGCTCTTGCAGAGGACCCAGGTTTGGTTCCCAGCACTCAAGTGGTGGTTAACAGCTGTCTATAACTCCAGTTCCAGGGGGCCAATGTCCTCTTCTGGCCTCTGAGGGCATTACATGCATATGGTGTATTCACATGCATGCAGACAAAACAGTTATGCACATTAAAAATAAATAATCAAAACATTTTTGATATATATTTTTATTGAATTTTTGTGCATTTCATATAATACGTCTTAATCATATTTAGACTCCTATCCCTATCAGCAAAGTATAACGCAAATGAAACTAGAAATCAGTAACAAGGAAACCTAGAAGAAATTCACAAGTGCATGAAAGTTACATGATACTGTTTTGAATAACCAATGGGGCAGACAAGATCAAACAGAAAAAAAAATATGACCCAACCAAAAATGAAAACAAAGACATTCCAAAACTTATGGGATTTAAGGGAAACTGTGCTTAAAAGATCATATACAGCAACAATCAATAACGAATTAGAAAGATCAGAGTAAACTAACTCTGAGCCAGAGAGATGACTTAGTAAAAGTGCTTGCCAAACAAGTGTGATGACCTGGGTCCAAACCCTGAATTTCTAGGTAGAAGGAAATATCCCACTCCAGAAAGCTGTCCTCTGATCTCTACATACAGAACATGGAACGTGCACGTGTATACACACATGCATATCACAAATTAATCATAATAGAATAAACTAACCCCCAAAATTAACATAAGGAAAGAAATCACAAAGAACGAGAATAAGAAAATAATAGGGAAAACCCAATAAAACTAAAGGTAGGTTTTAAAGAAAAAAAAAGCCTCAAGAAACTGTTTACTAAACTAAGGAAATGTGAGAATACTCAAATCAAGCCAAATCAAATAAGATCAGAAATGAAAGAGAAGACATTGCAATGGGTGCTTTGAAATTAAAAAGACCATAAGCATCAGTTATGAACAGTCATACATCAACAAATTAAATAACCTAAGATAAATGTATAAAATGAAAAGATAAGCAGCTTGCCAGAATTGTTTTATTGAAATTATTAACACATGATAAGTATACAAATTAGTGGGAGTTGCTGTGATAGTTTCGTATATGTATATATTGTGCATTGGTCCTGTCCAATCACAGTTCAACTCCACATATGATATAAAACATGATATTTGTCTATGTCTAAGTTAATGTCTCTTAATGTGGTATCTTTCAGTTTAATTCAGTTTCCTGCAAATAAGAGGATCTCCTCCTCCTCCTCCTCTTCCTTTTCTTCCTTTTCTTCCCCTTCTTCATTTTCTTTTCTTTTTTGAGGCAGGATTTTACCTTGTACCCAGGCTGGCCTTGAACTTGCAATCCTCCTGCCTCAGTGTTGCAATTACAGGCTTGTATCACCTTCATCTAGCTCATTCGTCATTATGGCTAAGTAATAGTTCATTGTTTGTAATTGTACTTACCATAGTACTCCTTATTCTTGTAGGCCAGCCTTCTTCATTCCCAATCCTGTACTTTCTGATGTGTGGTCCTGTAATCTGCAATTAATATTGCAGATTAATATGAGCAGGTAGGCTTTCTCTTAGCCTAAATATTTTTCTCTTGCTTCTCTCAAAGTCTTTTTGGAGCCCTCGACACCTAAAATCATGTTTTATTTACCTTTTAACTGATTTTCAAAATACAGATTTACTATGTTCTTATGTTAGTGACTTATTTTTTGCAAGTTACAAATCAGCCTTCCTCATTTGTTCAAGAATGCATTGTATCCTTTAGTAGAGTTAAAGAGAAAGCTATCCCAAGTAACGGTATCTGTAATACCCAAATGTTTTAAACTTATAAAGAGAATCATGAATGGCTTTCCTCATAGAAAGAGGCCAGGTGGCATTGTGCTGTTCAGCAGTATGACCTCAAGATATTTTTGCTCTTCCCTTGCTCAAAGAATCTGAAGCTAAGGTTTTTATATGATTTTTAGTCATTACTATTTAAGTTGCACATGAACTGTCTGCATAGTAGCTCTGACTTTGGAGAGTCAATTGGATTTGCTATCAGGGCAAGATAGCAGACTAGGAATTCTCCAGTTCCATTCCCCTCCCCCTAAAGAATTCCAGCCAGCAAATCCGCACAGACATAATACCTTCATGAATATCGAAGAATTTTGTTGGAAGGCTGAAATATCTTTTTTTTTTTAAAGACAGAAATGAAAATAGCCACATGAGAAAGTAAGAAGAACGATTCCACATTGTGTCCTTTCTGACCTAGCTGACATACTACTGCCTGCTGAGGATTCCTGGGTACTTGCAGCTTTTATAGAGTGAGAAGAGAGTTGGGGGTGAACATTCAGCTTCCCCACTGTTCAAGGACCCTGTTACAGGAAGTACTTTTTTGTATCACTCAGTGTGAACCATTGAGCATGTTAGCAGAGCAGGCAACATATAAACAAGGAACGAGTGGGGTTCTTACGCATTGCTACCATTGGAAGCATACTACCAGAGAGGCTAGTCAACAGCACCATTTGCAAGGACAACCAGCAACTCTCCCAGACTTGAATCTCTGGGTAGGCTTCCTATCAAGCCCCAGCGTTTTCCTTGAACTGTCCCCAGTCTAGTGATCACTTACAAAGGAGAGATCTGGTTTGACCTACTTCTACCTTCCAAGCTTCTATTCAGTCAAACTCCATTGCAATCCGGATCTATTCCCAGATTGAAAGACAGGGGAAAGTGGGTGACTAACCATGGAGAAGAAGGTAGACCCACCCAGGCTCACTGACCAAGTACTAATTCAAAATTTTCAGTTTTCGTCTACCAAGGCTATCCAAGGGCAGAGTGCAAACCCATGTTTATGCCTATTCATGGAGTGAAGAGCCCAGCCCTAGCCATCCCAAGTGCTGGAATAGTGATTCCAGAGACCTTGCTCAACCTTAGAACTGAACATGTGGACCTGCCTAACTTTAGATTCCAAACGTAGCACTGGGGGAGGACAACCTATAGCATCTTCTGGTAAGAAGCAATCACAGAGCCCAGCCAGCAGAAACTAGTTGACGGTTGTTCCAGACTGTGTAGCACAGGCAGCAGTTCTGCTACCCAGAACACAATTAACAGGCTGTGATGGTTTGAATGAAAATGTCCCCCATAGGCTCCAAGGATTTGGACATTTTGTCCTCTGATGGTGGTGCTGTTTTGGGAGGTTTTAGGAGGTGTGGCTATCCAGGAGGAAGCATGCCACTGGGGGTGGGTGGGCTTGGAGAGTTCTTAATCCTTGCCAGATCTCCAGTTGCTCCCTTTCTTCCTGTGCCTGTGTTATGCTGTGAGAACTTAACTTCTGCTGCTCCTGCTCCAGCCCCCTCCAGCCACCATGCCTCCCTGCTATGACGGACTGTAATTACCCTGGAATTAAATGCTTTGGTCAGTGTTTCTATCACAGCAACAGAAAAGTGGCTAATATACAGGCTAACCCAACTAGACCCTAGTCTAATGAGGTCTGTCTCTCTGCTGTCACCACAAGTACTTAATTAGAATTACGAACTGAACTAGAGAATAAAGTCCTGCAATTACCAAAGAACACCAGAAAATGCTGGAAGAGAGGAGGGTGCGTCAGCAAATGCTCAGGAATACAAAGATTTTGAAACCCCAGTGAAACATGAAAGAACCAGAATAAACTAATGTTCAAATAATGGGCTCTGTAAAAGTAGGTATCTATGAAGTGACTTGAAAAACAATTCAGAATAATACTCAGTAGGAAAGCTCTGACAATGGAATTGACTAAGCAGAAGAAAAAAATCAGTAAACCCAGGGACAACATCTGATATTATTCAGTCAAAAGAATAATTTTTTTTAAAAAGTGAAGGTCAATGATAATTACGAGATTCCATTAGGAGAACAAATCTATATTTAACAGAATTTGATGAAGGAAAAGAGAGAAGGCACAGAAAATGTATTTAAGGTGATAATGCTGCGAATTTTCCAAGTCTAAGAAAAGATAACAACCTCCAGGTTGTTGTAGGAAGCCCAGTGGCTCACAAAATTCAGTGCAAAGAGGAATTCACAGATACTATAGAATCAAAAAATCAAAGACAAAAAGAAAGAATAGTGAAAACAGCATGAGGTAAGAAATATATCCCAATGCCCCTTACCCATTGCTCTGCTCTCCTGCTCAAGGCATCAGGTGCCTGTGTTTGAAGTCACTAGACAAACATAGGATTTCAGTATCTAGCACAGCTTGTCCCTAACTCTGTGTTTCAGAGATGTTAGTGGAAGGTGGGAGGAAAAACAACAATGCTATGATTAAACACTTGTCAGAACATTTGCCAACAAGATACAATGTGTCATAGCCTGTAAAATAGAAAAGGTAAAGTATATGGGGCTTGATATTAAAAAGAAAACTTTTCTATCACTGCTTTATCTATCTCTCCTGTGTGGCCTAATTTTTCATTTATCAGATTAAAATTATATGATTTTTCTTGAGAGTTGAAGAGAATTTTAAGTAAAAACAGTGGTTAAGAGCACTGGCTGCTCTTGCAGAGGACCCGCGTTTGAGTCCCAGCTCCCACACGGCGGCTAACAACCATCCATAACTCCAGTTCCAGGGGATCCAATGCCCTTTTCTAACCTCCGTGGACATTGCACAACACAGGTGTACTTACATACATGCAGGCAATGCACTCATACACACACAAAATAAAAATAATAAATAAAATATTTTTTAAAAATAATTAAGCAAAACTGGAAACCACAGCTAAATTGTTGAATTGTCTGTCCCATTTGGCATCCTTGTGATTAGTGATGCCAGGGGGTGTGTGGAGGGGTGTGGTTGGCAAGCTTTCTATGTGATGTTGACGTAGGTGTCAAAAACCAGTGGACGAGTTTGATATGTTGGGCAATCTTTGTGATAACTAAGGTCTTGGGCAACCACATAACTGAAAAACAAACTAGATTGGAATACCTGGAGACTGGTGAGATTTTGCTCTGTGTACTTATGCTAGCAGGTGGTCAGGTGAGGTGGTGATAGATGCATTCTTGTTCAGAGACCCATCGGTAACAAATTGTTTGCTTTAGACAGCTAACAGTAGTTTGTCAAAATCCTGAAAAATATGTTAAACTATCAATAATGTCCTTAGGAAATACATATTCAGATGCCTTATTTCTGCAACAAATACTTGAGAGAAACAGTTTAAAGGAAAAAACGATTTATTATGACTCGTGGTTTCAAAGGATTGAGCACATGGTCAGATAAATCCATTGTTTGGGGCCTGAGTGAAGCAGAACATCATGGTGGCTGGAGCGTACACCAGAAGTTTCCCATCTCATTGCAGCTGGGAAGCAGAGAAAAATAATGGGAAGAGGCCAGGAAAAGGCACATCCAGAGGCCATTTCTTCCATCTAGACCCTACCAACCAGTCCTGTCGTCTCCTGAAAATTCTCTTAATGTAATTCAATAGATGATCAACCAAATCACAGAAAAATAACGGTTTTATAAACATCATATAGACAAAATTTACATGGTTTCTGTTCCTCAAGACCTCTCAACTAAAAGTAGGGATCAGTCAACTCAATGTGTAAGAGTAAATGGATATGTGAAACTCCACAACAGACTTAGGGATAATATGTGAACACTCACCTTCTTGAACCTCCTTTAAGACACAATACTTAACTTTATATATAAAACATATTTTTTCTATTCATCCCTTATCCCTTATATTAATAAACTAGTATAGTCAAATTCAGTTGCATTTAAATTTATAAATCCGAATATATAACTTTCAAAAAAATTTTCATTTATGTGTATGAATGTATTGCCTGAATGTATGTAAGTGCACCTGTGCTGTGCAATGCCCGAGGAGCTCAGAAGAGAGCTCCAGGATTCCCCTGGAACTGGAGTTATAGATGGTTGTTAGCCGTCATGCTGGTGCTGGAAATTGAACCTGGGTCTTCTTCAAGAGCAGTCAGTGTTCTTAATCGCTGAAACATCTCTCCAACCTCTGAATATAGAACTTTTTAGTTCCATGTGTCCAGGAGAAAATCACAAACCATAAAATTGTCATCCATAAACCTTATACTTTAAAATAAGGTGTGCCTTCAAATGAAATATTAAAATAAAGAAAAGTTGAATTTAATATTATCATTATGGATACAGATGAAAAGAAGTTCACCGAATTTGGCTTGGGATAGACACATCATCAAACTTTTCCTAGAATAAGTTTTGATAATTACTGCTCTACTTGATTTTTTTTAAATTAATTTTATGGGGTTGGGGGTGATGGCTCAGCAATTGTGAGCACTGGCTGCTCCTGCAGAGGACCTGGGTTCGATTCTCAGCACTTACATGGTGGCTAACAACCATCCATAACTCCAGTTCCAGGAGATCTGATGCCCTCTTCTGACCTCCTTGGGCATTGCACAACATGGGTGCACTTATACACATGAAGGCAATACACTCATACACGTAAAATAAAAATAAAATATTTTTAAAAATTAATCTTACTTTTTTTACTTTATGTGTATGAGTGTTTTGCTTGCATGTATGTAAGTACATCACACACATGCCCCACTTGATTTTTTAAGCACACTTGTATTACAAAGAAAAAGAAATCCATGTTTCTGCTTCATCTACACTGAACCTAACATGTAGTGCTGCCAAAGGTACTTGGAGTTTGAGCAAATTCTAAACCCTGCTTTGTCCTTATTAACTAGACCTCAAAACAGAATTGAGCTGTTTGACCTAATCAGGACTTTGACTTTCAAAGTGAAATCAGCCCTCTCCTCATGAATATAATGTAGGGGACTATTTATTCTCTATAATTCTTCAAGTTAATAATAATGTTAGTCAGCTATGGAGTTGAGCAATCTCATGAGCATTTCTTGGTCAGCCTCTATTCAGGAGGTTGTGCTCAGAGTTTGATTCCTCTCTGTAATTTTCTGACTCTTGTGCTGGCACCAGGAAGGCAGTACCTGTTCTTCAGTCTTGCGTTCCCACACCTGGCTCAATATCTTGTGGAAGCAAGAGTGCCTGGTCTTTGTTCCTCATTAATGGTAGAGTGAAAACAGGCTCTGCAATCAATGTCTTTTATGTCCGCATGGTTAGAATTAATGCAGACATTTGCCAATAAATCTGGTATTGGGCTTTCAGAAGATTTAAAATATTTAAGTGCTCAGGTCCTCATTTTATAAATACTAAGTCAAGAGAAGTTTTGCACATCCTTGAAGCATTTTTGTCAACAATTTTTTCAAAATAACAAAGGAATAAATGTGTGGGATAAACCACAGCAATATTAAGGAAATGACTTCTGCTTAATTAAAATTATCATAGATGGGATTTTTAAAAAGTCATTGTATTGCCATCAAAATGGATTTCAGAAGAGCTGCCAAGTGAAAAACCCATCACACATCTCCATGCACCTTCAGCAAGTTGCACATTGCTACTCAAGAGAAGCTCCTCCCTCCTAAGCAGTGCTTCAAAGAGCAGCCCTCTCACTGTCATTTCTTTAAGCCACTCAGTGGTGACCAAGGTTTGAGATTTTATAAAATCATGTTTGCCATTTGGTCTTTTTTCCTTTCAATATCTTCCACAGATCACCCCACAATTACTTTCTGGCACCTCTGAAATGAGATTTTGCCATTAATTTTGTTCTTCTTATCTTTACTTAAGATAGCAGTGAAATAGAGGGAAAAAATAAGTATTTATAGTTAGAATAACCCTGGTTCCTAAACAAACTATGTAAGTAGCTCCACCGCTCTGAACTTCAGTTTGATTATTTCAAAGGCAGCTAAAATAACTAGTTCAAAGACCATAATATAACATATATGAGAAAATATACATTGCCTACCACAATATAAATTCTCACTAATATTATACTTTCCCTCCACTCCAACAGCCAGAAGGATATTATATCTACTTATAGCATCAAATTTACTATTTCATTATGTATTTATAAGGCACATTGAGCTAGTCAGTCTGGTGGCCATGTCCTCTTGGGAGCACCAAATTGTGTGGGAGGAAAGAATTAAATAATTACATAAATCTATGCCTATTTACAAATTATAAATATTAAAAAAGGGGGAGGGAATACTGTACACACCCTGACTGCAGACACTCATCTCATGGTCAGGCAGCTGCCTCTTTTCTAGGAAAATGTCAGAATCATTAATATCCAATATATTGTCATGTCCCAGTTGCAGTTGCATGAAATGCTTTCAAGTCATATTTGATTTTTATAAAGTGAGAAACAATACTTGAGTTTATAAGACACACATACAAAAGTGTATGGTTCTATTTTAAAGCACTATTAGAAAGACTAATGTCACTAATGTTTGTTAAGAAACTGTCAAATTGTTAATAGATTTTCACCCAACAGACTATATGGTTTACTTGTATTTAGGATATCCTACACATAAGATTTTCATTGCCAATATAGAATGGATGATATATAACATCATATCAAGTATGATTGTTCACAGTGTGAAGCTGAGTTCTAGACTGTGTGAAATAGGAGGTAGAGGGCAGATAATATCCTCCTATCCTACATCTGATACAGGTCATCTCTGAAATCAAGACAGCATGACCTGGGCAGAGTCCAGTACCCTCTGTACCTCTTCCTCAAGCACCTGCAGCCATGACTTTGTCCAAAGCTACCTACACAAGCCTGCTCAAAGTGAATCATGCTCTAAAAGCTGGATGGAAATTTATTTATTTTTAGTTATAAAAATAGAATTTTATTTTTAAACCTAGAAAAAGGTCCCAGATTTTCAACATACCAATCTGTATGTAACATCCTGTCATATTTACATGCCCTCCTCTTTGTATAAAGATAATACTATTTGGAATCATGATTTCTATAGACTCATGCATTTTCCTTTCATTATTTCATATTTTTACCTTCATTTTTAATGAAGGATATTAATGTCAATTGTATTTTTCAGTTGATGTCTTTAGTCTTGTTTTCACTGGAAAATTATTTTCTATCCAATATTTGGGGTTTTTACAAATAACACCATAAATCTTTTCTTTGAACGTAGTTTTATCTGACTTTAGATGACATCTTTAATGGTCCAAAATGAATTTCTTTGTTAAAATTTTTGGGGAAAAATTATGGTAAGTTGTCTTCTACAGCTATTGTCTTTAAAGTGCCCCAGAAAGAATTCCCATCTTTCTTGTTACTTATTTCTTAACAACTTATTTTGTTTATTTATTTATTTTCAATTAATTTTTT